AGCCACTCCCAACCTACCACCTTTCACGTTCGGACTAGGTGCCGCGCTTGCCGCGTCCTCGTCTTCGGTTGCCACAGTGCCCTTCCGCTTAGGCAACTGCCCCGAACGGGAAGCCTTACCAGTGGAAGAACGGGACGAAGACGAGGGCAGGATCTGCGATGACTCTTCGCTGGCTTCGCGCAGTCCGGCGAGCACTTTGATGCTGTCGAGGAGATTCATGTCGTCGGATTTACCTTCGATGATGTGCTGTACGGTCTCGGAGATGCGGACATTTTCGCGGTAGAGGGACTCTAGTCGGTCATCCAGCTCGGCTGAGCTAGGTTGATTCGATTCTAGATGTTTGTGTGAGCATTTTCTCAAGTGGGTATGAAGGAGTAAATTGAACGAGGCAGTGAGTGAGCTGGTCAGACGCGCAAACCCCGGGGCTGGGCCAGCTCAATGGCTGCCAGGTGCGCTGTAAACAGCGCCAAGGAATTATTGCAAGAACAGAGTACGACGATCAACGTGAATGAGTCACACCTGCATGTACAGTATACTGCACGTTACAGGAAATGTAATGCGGGGTATGGCGAGGATGGCAAGAGCGGTCAACTCACCGACAAGGGCTGCCTGCTGTTCCTCCACCTCCACAATCTCGGTACCGATTGCGGATGATCTTGCGACCATTCCGTCGATCTTCTTAGCATCTGCTTTGATCTGGTTCCATAACCGTCGCTCCTCATCGGCGTCTTGGTTGTGGTTGTTTCGCGGTCTGTGGCGTGCAGACATGGTTGCCGGGCGGTGTAAGCAGTGCTGATTCCCGTCTGATGTATATCGTCGCGTGAATGAATTAATATCGATGATTGCTAAAGAGTGAAAGAGTAGAGTTTGTCAATAAAGTGGTGTGGCATACATGTAGAGGTCAAAGACGTCTTGGACATGGCGTTCACGTGCGGGACGATCACCCGCACAGTCGCACTCAGGGCTGTCCCGCTGGAGTTTAGCTCATTTAGCTCCCGCAGAGCCGCAATGCTGAACCTCCCGCGTGGGCGAGGTGGGGTCATTGGCTGGTCAGAATCGAGACGTCAGGGTCACGAAGCTACACGTTGGTAGAAACTCCTGAACGGTCGTACCAATCCTAGTCTTCCCACTAGATCTGTTCGATATCTGCCATACAATCCCTTTCTCTTCCAACGCAATAGATATTCGTCAAGCGCAAACATGCAGGTTCCTTTGATCCGTCTGCAGTGCGGTGAGTGAAGCCGTTTGAGCTTGGAAACGTGGACTTTATGCTAATTCTCGTCACAGGATGCAACAGCTACGAGTGGGGTTCGTAAATCTGAAAGGACACAAGGACGTCATGATTGACGCGATGTACAGGCAAGGTCGGCAAGGACTCAGCAGCAGCACGCTTCGCATCAGCGACCGACTTCTCTATCCAAGAGTCTAAGCCATATGCAGAGGTGAGAAGCAACGACGCAACTCGACTGATTTATCTGGTCTGACGAACAACCTAGCTATGGATGGGCACCCATCCCAGCAATCCATCCAAAGATGTCGAGACTCAGCGCACCCTCCTCGATCTCGTGCAAGACAACCAAGCCCTCATGTCGTCCAAGATCTCCGAGAAATACGAGAAGAAGCTTCCGTTCCTTTTCAAGGTGCTCTCCATCAACAAGGCTCTGTCCATTCAAGCGCACCCAAACAAGAAGCTCGCGGAGCAACTGCACAAGAACGACCCAAAGAACTACCCGGACGATAACCACAAGCCTGAGATGACCATCGCAATCACCCCGTTCGACGGACTGTGTGGTTTCAGACCGCTGGCCGAGATATCTCACTTTCTGGACACTGTGCCGAGTTTGAGGGCTCTTGTGGGAGAAGAGGAGGCGAAAAGGTTCCAGGAGACAGTCAAGGGACAAGAGACCGCCAGTGATGAGAAGACCACTGAGACCAACAAGAAGGCACTTCAGAGCGCATTCACAAGCTTGATGAACAGCAAGCCTGAGGACGTAGAGAAGCAGGCAAAGGAGCTGATTCAACAAGCAAAGAGCGAGGGTGAAAAGTTCGCTGGTAGTGGTGGACCAACAAACGATGGCAAGGAGCTTGCAGATCTCATGATCAGGCTTGATGGACAATTCCCAGGTGACATTGGACTCTTCGTGAGCTTCCTGTTGAACTACGTCAAACTTGAGGTTGGAGAGGCGATGTTTCTGAAGGCGGACGATATTCACGCCTACCTGTCCGGAGGTAAGATGTCTTGCATCCATAAGTGGAGAAGCCCGCTAACATGATCTAGACATTATTGAGTGCATGGCCTCATCTGACAACGTTGTTCGTGCCGGCTTCACACCCAAATTCAAGGACGTCGACAACCTCACCAAGATGCTCACATACTCTTACGCACCAATCAGCGAGCAGAAAATGGATCCAGTCCCATACCCGTACGTCACTCTCAGCCAGGACGCATACAGCTCGAACTCATCGGCCACCCTCTACGACCCACCAATTGAGGAGTTCAGCGTCGTCAAGACCGACCTCAAAAAGTCAGGCGCCAAGGCGACTTTCGAGGCGATTGAAGGTCCTAGCATTATCATCTGCACCAAGGGTCAAGGATCCATCAAGGTTGGCCCTAAGACGGAGGAGGTCAAGGAAGGCTATGTTTACTTTGTTGGCGCCACGGCTACTTGCACGCTCGAGAGCACCGGTAGCGAGGAGTTTGTTAATTTCAAGGCGTTCTGCGAGTTGGACGGCAAGGAGGGCGGAAAGCTCTGATTTGGCGATGTTTCGTTCTGCGTGACCGGCCCGATGAGGAAGGACCGACCTTCCGAATTCATAGTATAATATATATCGCATTTGATGATCATATGGCATCGCAGTCTCTTCCAGAGATGCACAATGATACAGCGATCTCGTTCAATAAGTAGACGATGCGAAATACGTATATTACATGTTCATAATGAATGTCTTCAAATCGGTGTTTTCACCGGGCTCTCGGCTCAAAGACCGCGTCGGGTAAATGCAGCCCGGAAGCGGCAATTGAAGGCATGGCGGGGTGTTTGGTGGAGCGTCTGCGGGACAGCTGGACGATGACATAGAATAAGTACAGCAGCGCAGCGGTCAAGTATAGTTCTCTCTCTCGTTTCATTCCTTGTTCTTCAACATCTCTTGAAAGTCCTTTGTCTATCGTATCTTTCTGTACATATCATCCCGTTGGATATCCCGTTCAATTGACTGCATACCTAACCATTGCAACAATCGTCCACCGCCTCACAATGACACTCCAAAAGCTCGCAAACAACCGAGCGGTTCAAATGCTGAACAAAGCCGCCGAAGGCAAGTACGGCGTGCTAGGCGTCGTCTCCTACAACATGGAGACGATAATCGGCGCCGTCCGCGCCGCCGAAGCCAAAAAGGCACCTCTCCAGATCCTCCTCTTCCCCTGGGCGCTAAACTACTCGCCCCTCCTCGTCGACTTCGCGGCCAATGCAGCCCGCAAGGCTTCCGTTCCAATCACAGTGCACATGGACCATGCGCAGGATCCAGAAGTCATCAAGCGCGCTTCGCAGATTAAAGCCGAGGACGGCACGCCGGCGTTTGATAGTATCATGGTGGATATGTCGCACTATGAGAAGGAGGAGAATCTGGCTAAGACTAAGGAGCTGGTGGCGTTGTGTCATAGTAGGGGTATAGCAACGGAGGCGGAGCCGGGCAGGATTGAGGGCGGGGAGGACGGGGTTAAGGATACGGCGGAGTTGGAGGGGATGATGACGACGCCGGAGGAGGTGGATGACTTTGTGGGTACGGGGATTGATTTCCTGGCGCCGGCTTTTGGGAATGTGCATGGTGATTATCACGGCGTGCAGAATATTCATCTCGACTATGACAGGTGAGTCTTTGGTCTGAAGGTGGTGGGGACAATGATGAGACGAGTTCTTTGTTCGAAGGTGGTGGGGACAACGACGAGACGAGTTCTTTGTTCAACAGGCGCTGATTACTTCTAGGCTCGCGTCAATCCATGAGAGATCGAAGGGTAAAGTCCAGATTGTACTCCATGGCACGAATGAGTTCATCCCGGAGATTCTGAACAAGTGCATTGAGCGCGGTGTCACTAGAGTTAACGTTAACAAGATGGTGCTGTCGAATTACTTCGAGTACACTAACAAGAGTACGGGCAAGGTGCCCCTTACGACACTCTTAGAGGAGGGTACGAGATTGATCCAGGAACAGTGCGAAGGGTGGATGGATGCAATGGGATGTAGTGGGAAGGCATAGGGATATCTATGTACATAATATTCCGGCCCTGTTCAAATCTCTGCAGTTGCTATTAGTCTCCACCAACTTGCATATCTCATACCAGTGTTGTCTTGAAGCCAAGCACTTGATAGGCAGTCCCAGCGCTTTGTCTCGAGCTCTATGGAATGCGATCTGCATAGTAGTATCCCTGTCCCGTTGGCCTCGTAATAAAGGCTGGGTATCTAGCGAAGGCCTTTAGCAACTACTAACCCGATTCACGTTGCTTGACTCTTTCTCACATCCAGATACAGTGCGGCGTGACCCTTTACGCTACCAGCATACTTTACGGAGCGTATATCAGAATCTATATAGGCAAGATGGTCCTATCTAGGCGGCTATACTTATGGAAAAAAGTCTTTATACCTAAGTAATCAAATGCTATCTAAGAAGTCAAGGAGCGCATTATACATATACGACGCGCAGAGAAGCTTTTATCCGAATCATTGCTAAGAATGACAGACCGGCTAAGACGCGTTACTAGGCAGAAAGGATTCACTCAGCCCTACCCGCTAGACCTTAAGCATGTAAAGTCCTACCTAGTACTGTGCATTCACTAGGCATAAGGAAGCGCCTAGAATTCACTCAGCCTTACCCGCTAAGCCTTAAGCATATGACGTCCTAGCATATTCACTGAGTATGAGTAAGCGCTAGGATTTCACTCAGCCCTACCCGCTACGCTAGCCCTTATATTCAACGCTAGCATTTACTTTGACAAGTAGCCGTGGGCCCGGCTGGCGCAATGGTAGCGCGTCAGACTTCTAAGCGATCTCTTCATCGTCCAAGTAATCTGAAGGTTGCGGGTTCGAGTCCCGCGTTGGGTGCTCATTTTCGAGCACTTCTTATATAACTGGGTTCAATGCCCAGGGCTCCCCTTTTGCCCTTTTTGAGCTGGTTTGCTACTACGACTATTCGTCAATTGAGATAGACTGAAGTGCTATAACCAATGGATGGACTTTTGCTAGGTGATCCTGGCACTGTGTTAGGAGGAGTGGCTAAGATGCTGTTCTCTGACCCCTCTGTGACTCTGTGCCTTGGCGTCCTGGTATCCTTGGCATCAACCCGGATCAATGTTTATCCGCGCGTCGTACTTCTTGGATAGCTCGTACAATATTCGACTACCTTCAGACCTTGTTCCATATTAGATGAGATGATTCACTTGAACTACAATATGCTAAAGTAAGTGCTAGCGTAGAATATAAGAGCTAGTTTAAACGGGTAGGGCTGAGTGAATCTTTAGCGCGCTCTTTTGCATAGTGAATTGTATAGCAAGGTAGGGCTGAGTGAATTTCTAGCGCGCTCTTTTACATAGTGAATAGTATAGTAATGTAGAGCTGAGTAAATCTCTAGCGCGTTCAGTCTTGATCTGATCATAGGTATAGCCCCCTAAATAGGACCACCTTATCTATATAGATTCTGATGTACGCTCTGTAAAGTGTGCTGGTAGTGCTGCTTAACACATGCAGTCAGCAAGAGCCGAATCCAAATCACGTCCTCGGAACCAGAATACTACGAACTTGTGGGTATCAAACACTACGGCATCCATCCAGTGCACAGCCGAACAGCTTACCAGAAGTTGTGACACTCGATCCCTAAGATCTACCATCAAAGTCCCGCACACTGATGCAATGGTATCAAACTCAGAACGAAAGCTCATAATGCATACACCGGCCCGCTAGATATATCTATACCAGAACGGCAGCTTATTCGTAGAATACTAGACATCTAACCTCAATACTCTGCCTTCCCGGTGCATCCTTCGGGGTATTCGGGTCGACAAACGCCGTATGCGGAGTCCTCAGCGCGAGGCCCTTCTTTCCTTGCGGCATACCCTCGCCCCTTGAATCAAAACACTTGAGCAACATCACCTCATCCGGCTTCATGTCCTTCATATAGTAGAACTTATGCTCCTCGTTAGGCGCGACGCTCAGTGTCTCGCCCTTGACCTCATATCCCGCAGTAGAGTATAGCGTCTGCTCATCGGGCAGCTTTTCTTTCCCGCGGTCATCATCATCTATCGCCGAGTCCGCACGCTGAGGATACATGAGGTCGACAGGGACGAAGTCTTGCGGAGAGGTGGATCGCCAATCGATGACTGCGAGTGGGAAGTCGGAAGCCGGGTTTTCAATCGGTCGCCAGACGTTGATGATCTGGTAGCGGCCCTTGAGAAGCTCCTCTGCTTCCTCGGCGGGCAAGTGTCGCCGTACGCGAACCTCAGCCGCGCCAGGCGTTTGGTCGACATGGACCTGCTGGACGGGCTGCCTTGGCGCGTCCTTTTGCCGACGCCGGATCGTGTGGTCGAAAATGACGACCTTCTTTACGCCCGGTAGTCTTTCCCGCAGCAATTGCTCGACCTCGGCGTAGTATCCCTCGCGTACTGCCTTGTCGTCTCTGAAGCTCTTCTCTTTCGCGGGCGAGGCGAAGACGTCGAAGCCGGAAACGTCTGTCCCGAAAGAATATTGTTCGTCGCGGATGTTGTGGAGCGAGCGCTTCTTCTCAAGGTCTTTGAACGAGCGACCAGGCCCGTCTACTTTAGTCCATGGCTTCACAGAGCTGTCAATTGAAGCTGGGTCGATGTAATTGAACGCTGCGGTGGTCATCCTGGCTAAGTTTGACGCTGGTGCCCTTATTGGGTGCGATCTGAGGGGCGATTCGAGGACTTTTTGGACTATTGAACGCTGTAAAGATCTTGAGAACATGAGATGGTATGCAGTCTATATGATATTATTGCTAACCGTCCCATCAGACTTCCGACGTGTTTATATTCTAATGGAAAGTCATCCCGGTCATGACGCCACCGACGCCAAGCTTTGTGCAGGGCGCGGGGCAGAATTGTAAGCAGCGATTATTTCTAATCATCCGAATCAACTCCGCCCTACCGGAGATGCGGGCGCAAAGATCTGGACGTCCATGTTCCCATTAAGGGAAGTTTCGACTCTTACAAAGCTGTCTCGCTTGACTCCTTGTCTTCTTTGACCCCTGCACATGTTTACCTGTAGTCTCAGCACAGCCGCCTGCGCAGCTCACGGCAAGGACTCCGTGCGTGATCTGCGTCTCCCCCACAGTAGCGCGGAGGACCCTCGCCTCTACTGTGGTGCAGGTCTTTGCCGAGACTGCTGTACATGCATGATCTGGGGTTCATAGAGAGGTTTCGACACTTGTGGAGTTCAATGTGATACACTAACTTGACACGCATGGTATTGTCCGCCCTCATCCCCGCGTTTCGACTGCCACGAGCACGTCGGCACCATTGTCCAGCTCCCCTCCTCTACATTCGCGACCCCAAAACCAAGGTTCAAAATCGGCGCTAGGTAGAGTAGGCGTCCCCGGCCGCTCCTTCTATGCCTGCAGCATCTGCTACGACTACCTCGACACCGTCTCCCCTAACACCGACGAGACGAGGAGGCGGGGTATTCAGTCTGCTCCATGTCCAGCATCCGCGAACAACGGGATCAGCGGGCCGGGTGGGATCCGAAAATAACCCAACCACAGCTCTACAAGCCGGTCAGGCGTCTTTCTAGCCATCTCGCAGGAACGTAGAGGACTATCGTAACCCCAAGAGCCAGCTCCCATGAGATATCCGTCCCATATGGTGGGTTGCCGACCTTCAGGGCAATCGGCCCAACATACCACGTCTGTGACATGCATAGGATTGCCAACACCGTGCCAATACAGAAGACAACAATTGCTGCAATGCCATAGGGCAGTCTTTTAGGATCCTGCCAGGCAGTGACATCGTACTGGTAGCCTCGGCGGAAGCAGATTTGTTCTAGAAACATGATGGCGAGGAAGGGGGCTACGCTTGTCAGCATAAGGCGCCGTAGCTGTGAGAGAGAACTTACTCAGCCAGTATGCTATGACATTGAGGAAGTCCTCCATGACTTCCTGCAGACGATCTCGTCCAGCAATGGCAGCTATGATGGCTCCTCCACCTCCTATCAACGACCACACCAAGCGAGGAACTCGCATTAAACCGGTGCTGATCATCTGGACATTCAACCCCAGAGAGTAGATGTTCGTGATGACCACAGCCACGACGGAGAAAGATAAGACGGCTTGGATGAATTTCCCGAAGTTTCGTACTTCGGTGCCGTAGCCCTCAAAGATCTGACCTGTCAGCCCACCAACTCCACGGCTGTTATAGGCGTCGAGAAAAGCTGGGTCACTGCCACTAACGGTCGTCATCAAACCCACACCAAGGAGCTCGACCAAGAATTGAGACCAGAACAGTCCGTTAAAAGTATACATGAAGACTTTCCACGGCTTGGTGTTGGAACGCATATAGACAGCATAGTCGGCTGCAATGGGCGCCCATGAAATCTGGAAACCGATGATTGAGGTGCCGAAGCTCAGTACACCCGATAATTCATCAGGGCCGCTACCCATCGGCACATTGACGAAATGCTTCGCTCCAAAGCCTGCAACGATGATAAGGCAGACGAGCATGACGATCCAGGAAACGCGCTCGTATTGGTGCACTCGATGATATCCAAACATGCCGACAACCAAAGCTACGAGGCCGATAATGAGTACAGCGACCGAGGAGGGGAGGTTGCCGTCTCCAACGTCATATAGAATGTCCGCGCCGGCGATAGTGTTGACCATACCCCAGCCGATCTGGTTGAGCAAGCAGATGAACGCAAGAAATTTGGCGGGCCAGTAACCAAACGAGAAACGCTGGATTGTCATCGTCCTCAAGCCGAGCTTCGGTCCCAGCGTCGCCATCAATGCCGGTGGTAAAGCGCCGATGATGTTGAAGAATAGCAGGCAGCAGAATGAATCCCACCATCCCAAGTAGAACAGCGAGGGCCCAAGAGTACCGAAGGCCATAGTGGCTGTCCCCACATTTGCGCTTGCCCATAGGGTGAAGAGGTCACGAGGGTTTTGATTTGTCCGTAGCTCTTCTGGTATGCGCTCAATGCCATTCTCTTCTGCTCCAACGTTCCTAATCCACGATCGAAGTTTGACACCATAGTTTGCTGCTTTACTTGCGAACACGACTTCTCCAGTGGTTGTGTCTGTCTGCACTCCGTATACTTCCTTCGCCGGAGGATCCTGGTTAAGAACCTCCTCTGGGCCTTTTTCGAGGCTAAGCCGACGGTCAGTCATTGCGCGAGACTATGCAGGAATTGGGAAGTAAGAAGAGTAATGTCATTTACTACGCATTGGAGCGCAGAGCGCTTATCTATAGTACGCGCCATCTCGTCTACTTGCTCTATGGCCTGCAGCAAATGCACACCTTATCTTGCAGCTCTCAAGCTGAGTTCACACAGACGAAAGATCGCCATCTAGACCCTTGCTTGTGGTTCAGATAGGCTTATCTTTCGAACTGCAGCGGGAGATGATATAACAGGCTGTGGACTTAGCTGCATGCTTCCCAGCGCATGACGAGGAGGCGGGCAGCCAGGTCGCATATTGTGACCACATTATACCACTTTAGGAGTGCGTCAGTCTGATTATGAGGCTTCCAGCCGTTTGCTGCCATCGGTTGAGACAGGTGGAGAGATACTGCGATCTGTATATTCGTTGTGTCGATGTACCTACTCCAAGATGGAAAGAAGCGCCCAGCGCGCGAGTCATGTTGAACGCTGTGTAACACAAGAAATGCGATAACTAGGTATTCTTATTTGTTCGTGCAGTAGCCTTGCTACTTGCGATTGAAGAAGCTTGATTGGACCGAATTGGTCAATGGTATAGCATCAAACGATCAAGAAAACGGTAGCAATAGACGAGAGCCCTAATGCAGTTACCTTGAATTACTTGGGTTGCATTGATGTTGCCCAAATGCGCGTTCATTGAACGACCAATCCCAAGGAGATGAACT